CCAGGGGAAAGTCCATGTGGCCTGGGGTAAAACGCACGGTAATTGCAGAATCTGGCAACGTTTGGGGGCAGACCAAGGGAAAGTTCCACAGCTAGATTTGGGTACCCCAAGATTCCTCCTTCACCTACAGGCCAGCCTTCTCCCATCTCCCCAGCACCTCACCTACCTGTCCTCAAGACCTCGCTCAAATTCACCTCTTTCCTTCCTCTCCCCACTTCTCCCCCCCTCCTCCTATCTTCTCCGGCCCTCCCTCGCCCTTCCTCCCCTGCCCTGGCCAGTCTGATAAGGGGACGCTGGAGCAGAGAGTGCAGCAAGCTGGCCACCTGTGACCACCCCGGAAGTCAGTCGGGGTTGTAGGCTCCCTGAGTTGCAAGGAGTGAGCTGGGAGGTGGGTGGAGCACCCAGTTAGGGAGTGAGTCAGAGCGAGGAAGGAGGCTGGTCTAGTCCTGGAGTGAGGTTGAAGGGCAAAGCAGACTCAACAAAGCCCCCATGAGTGTTCTGGAGCTGGGATAAGCCCTCTGAGCTGACCCGGTAGGATGAGGGGCTGGTCCTTCTCAGCCCTGCCTGGATCAGTTGCGGGGTACAGCAGGCTCAGGAAGGGGCATGGCCCATGGGAGGTGGCTCCGTCAAAGGGCACCTGGAAGCCGGGTTATGGTGTCCATCCCAAGGGCATTGGAGCAGAGGGCATGGAGGGGAGCAGGTTCAACATCTTGGGGGACCAGGAGTGCAGGAAACCATGAGATGACATGAGGTCAGAGCCAGCCAAGGGCCAGACTACAAAGGACGTGGCCAGACCAGATCTTAACTGGAACAAGTTAGGGGGCCATTAAGGGGTGAAGGGGGAAAAGATGACCAGACATGTTTAAAACAGGGGTTCTGCAGGCCACCTGCTTTATAGTCCATTTACATGTCAACAGCTGAGAACCAGGTGCTCTGCAAAGTCTTTCAATATTTACCCTGTGGCCTTTTCCAAAATGTTTGCAAGCCCCTGTTTTAAAAGCCCCTCCTTGCATCACCTCCAGCAGCGAGGTGGCGCTCACGTGGGCCAAGGCCCCCACACAGCAGTGGGTGTAAGGAAGCGGGTGGCTCTAGCTACGCCAGGCCATGCACGGGGAACGGCACACGCGCATTTCAGGCGTCCCAGGCACATCGGCCTCGCGCCCTGGTGGCGCTGGTCTCAGAAGTAGAGCCGGATGGGATCCTTCCTCCCCCTCTTCTATGTGACCTCCAGGTCTATTCCAGGGGCTGAGGCAGGTAGCACCACTTCCATCTCTATCGGTCTCTCTGCACAGAAGCCAGGCTAATCCCTCTGACTACAGTCATCCCCCTGGGTAGCAGGTTCTGATGGCTGCCACTAAGCATGGACTTGTGGCCTGGCTTGTGATGGCCCTGCCTCTCCAACTCACCCTCTCTGCCCTGCCCACTTCGTTTCAGCATTCTGACCTGTCCCCCGAGGCCCAGAGCTTGCCCCTGCCCCAGGACATTTGCACGGCTCTATCTTTAGCCAGTCAGGCCTGCTTCATGCTGCCCCATGTCAGTGAGCCCTTTCCCGACAGCCCAGCTGCCTCAGCCCCTCTCCCTGCAGCCTGGGTGCCCTGCAACCTCACCCTACATGATGCACACTCCTCATTACCCCTCCCCCAACGTGACTCCCCCCCTCCACCCAAGGGCCGTGACGCACTAGTAGGCTGCTGAACCCAGTGCCTGGCTTATCAGGTCCTCAGGAAATACTAAGTGAATGGTCAGCGTGAGGCTGCTGGTGTTGGGGGTCTGCTGTCACCCTTTTTGTTTTGGGGGGCATTTGCATGTAGATGTCCCCAGGATGGTAAAAGCTGGAAGGACGGGAGTCCTGCCTGGGCGCCCCAGCTCAGCGAGGCTGCACTGCCCCCTCGTGGCCACTGGCTGCACAGCCGCCCGAGGGGCTGTCACTAGGCACCTGCTCCCACCCACATCTTCCGGTGGGAGACCAGACAGGCCTGGAGAAGGCAAGGACAGGCCCTCCTCGTCTGGAATGGGGGGGGACACGGAGCACCTTCTGCTCTGGCCCCAGGTCACCTGCTGTTCAGAGCTCTCCAGCCCTTGACGGCCAGGCGGGAACTTTCCAAAGGTAAAGTCCGTAAAGGAAAGCCCAGGGAAGGAGGGCACAGGGCGGGCCAGAGGCGCAAGCGTAGGCAGGAGAGGCCGTCCCTGCTATGCCCCTGCCCCTGTCTGAGGAGCTCATTTGCTGCCTTGCGGGTGATTTGGGGAAGACAAACCTGGGGCTGACAGACGTCACCAGGCTTCTGCTGGTCGGAACTTAGGGGTCCTGCCTGGAGGCCCTGGCGCCTGCCCCGGCAGGGTGACAGTCACCAGGACAGATGGCCCTGGCATCACCATCCACGGAAACAGCACCTGCCCCTCCTTGACACCCTGCAGAGCATGGGAAGGTAAAGGCGACTGCTCTACTTCCCCCTCCCAGCCTCCTCCCTGGAACATTCTAGATTGACTTGGCTCTTCTGGCTTTGCCTACACTGCCATCTGGTTGAACTTCATCTCTGTCACCAAGGAGACATGTAACTCAGTGAGGATGCAGATAAAAGGAAAATATAACTTGAAAAGACTAAAAGTCTGAAACAATGAGCATTAAATCCTCTTTGCCACGAATCTTGGACTTGGTCTGGTCAACTGGCCCAGCCAGGAACCCCCGGTGCTGGGCCAGAGAGGGACAGTGTAGACTGGAGCTGCCGCTGTAGGCTGGGGTCCTGACAAGTTCTTTGAATTCCACAAACACCCCTAAATTCTTCCAATAAAGTATTTTCCTTGTTTTCAGAAAGTGTGGTGAAAGTAAAAGAACGTAGACCTTCCTCAGAAATCAGTCCAGAAATGCACCCCTCAAGGCGCTGACGGAGTGCGGTCTGAGGCGCCGGGCAGCACAGGCAGCAGGAAGGCGGGTGGTTACATGATCAGTGTCCATTACCGGCAGCGACAGCGGCTGCTTGGAAGCACCGCTATTCTTGGAACGGCCCCGGCAGGAAACGTCTCTGGGGGCCTGCAGCAGGAGCTCTGTCTCCCGACAGCCTCCTAATGGACGTGGCAGGCTCCAGGAGCCGTTCCTCACAGAGACCCTTCCTGAGGGCTGACGGCACTGGCCTCAAGCCCGAGGCCCTGACATCGGTTCTGCGGCAGCCGGGGCAGTATCGGGTCTGGGAACCTTGACCCAGAGCCGATTCAGGCACGAGGACAAGAAGGCCAGCTGCAGGCCTCCAAGCACGCCTCACGTGCATCACGACCAGAAACCCAGGCAGACGGGGCTGGGATGGTCCTCCTCCCTGCTAGGTGAAGTGGGTGCTCGCCACCCGAAAACAAACCTGGACAGTTGAACCGCATCATGACGGGGCGGCAGGGGGTGCTGACAGTTGGGACAGCCAGGTCCTGGGCGCAGGGTTACGGGGCAACAAGACGGGCCACCGTTCCAGGGATTAGGCCGTCACCTAAGTGCCCCACCCCAGAGAGGTTTTCTGAAGAAGCTGAACCCCCACTCCCCCCAAATCAGGTGCATCTTTAGGAACAGCTAGGCCCTCCCCAGGCCCCCTGTGCCCAGCAGCAACTGCCCAGCCAGAAGGTGAAGCAGCATTGGCAAGCGGCGCCCTCCCCCCGCAGCTTACAGCACAGGCCTGGGGACCCGGGACCACTCCCGCCAAGGACACTGGAGCACCTTCCAAAATAGTGAGCAGCGGACGGTAGCCTGGCCTCCCGTTTGCCAAGGAGCTCAAAGTCTGGCCATCCTCAATACCCAGCACCCCACCTGCAGGCTCCCCCAGACTTCCCATGCCCATCCTGGCTCCTGCCTGCAGAAGTGGGCCTGGTCTGAATGGGCTGGCCTGCACCCTCACCCCCAGCGCATCCCAACCAGGGATGAGAACGTTTTCTTGACTTTTCCTACGTAACCCACATAAGAGTGTTGGAGAGCATCCCCCCAAAATTCACGTCCTTCCAGGAACCTCAGAACATGGCCTTATTTGGAAATAGCTTAGTTGCAGATGTGATTAATTAAGCCAGCATGAGGTCACACCAGAGGACGGAACCCTCGTCCAAAATGAGTCGTCCATCTGCGAGGAGAAACACGCAGACGTACACGGGGAGGGGAGCATGGGCGCGGGGGCGGGGGGGCAGGACAGAAATGGGAGGGACGCTCGCGCAGCCTTGGAACCCCAGGGTGCCAGCAGCACCAGCAGAGATGTCTGGGACACATTCTCCCCAGAGCTTCAGTGGACACAGCCCAGCCGATCTCAGGTCTCCAGGACTGGAGTACACACTGCTGTCCTGCAGGCCACCCAGCGTGGGGTTCTTGCCATGGCAACCCCAGGACACGACGACAACCTGGAAGGCAGGACGATGACCCACACCTCCAACGCCAGCCTCTGCCTTCCCAGACAGCAACTGCCAACCTGCTGGGAACGAGTGGGAGCTACAGCGAGACGGGCAGGGCAGGACACACGATGGCTGCCTGGGGGTTCCTACAGCACCCCATGCTCAGTGACAGTGTTTCACCCTGCGCTATGCGCACCCTTGAGGCTGGAGAACACACCTTTCTCCAGCAAGTCTGCCCTGGCTGCCGCAGGACCTGAGGTCGAGATCCGTGGGACACAGGGAGACTCAGATCCCCAACACCGAGCCACGGGCAGGGGGCCACGCCAGCTGAACCAAGCGGGTCTGGGTCCTCTGGCCCTGCACACAGGCCAGACCTCAGCTTCACACCTCTACCGACTTCAGGCAAGGCGGGGGGCAAGGTGTCCTCCCTGTCAATGCGGGCTGGGGGGTTGGCAGCGAACCCCAGGCCATCCCCTCAGAGAGCAAGTGCTGGGGAGAGAGACTTGTCCCCGGAGAACAGACCCAGAGCACGCACTCAGCGCCAGCCACGCCTCTGACCCGCCGCTGGCTGTGGCACCCGCAGAGGCACCCACCGAGCCCACGGGCCGGCAGCCCAGCACCCACCTGGAGCAATAGCATCAATGCCTTACTTTTTCTGGAGCGGGAGAAGAACCTGATGCCCCCGGGCGAGGTAGACGGGTTGGAGCCGGGCGAGGAGTCCTTGCTGGAGGAGCGGAAGATGCCGCTGAAGCTCATGCGTCGCGGGGAGCGCGGCGGAGACTCCTGGTAGGGGAACGGGAACACAGTCTTGGGGGAGCCCGGGCTGGTCTTGGGCCGCACAGGTGCAGACACCGGGCTGGAGGGGCGGTGCTGGGGGCCTCTGGAGAAGAACCCTTTGGAGGGGCTGCCCGAGCTGAAGGCACTGTCCACCTGCAGAGACAGAGCAGGGGCGGTCACTCGGAGCCAGGCGTGCTGGCCTCACCCGTCCCAGCTGCCGCTGCTGCCTGTCTCTTCTGAGAAACGACCCTAAGCTCCTCCGAGACGGGGGCAGCAACCTGGTGGCCTGGGGGGGGGCGCCTCTGGCCCAGGGTGGCCCCTAGGGGCTGGTCAGGACTGCTCTGGCGGGAGGGCAGGAAGGGCAGCGAGAGGCTCTCGAGGATGAGCTTCCCTGTCCACCCTGTGGCAGGTCTGTCTCTGGGCCTTCGCTGCTCGAGACCTCATACTGTGCCCGTCCAGGCCTGACCCCCTACAAGAACATGCCGGTGTCCCCTCCCAAGGAGGGGACACAGGCCTCTGATGCATGCAGGGTGCTGGACCAGGGGGTGGGCTTTCTGCCTCCGGCCATTTCCCCAGAGCATCTCTGCCACCTGCTAGTGCGCCTGGAGCCCAGTTCTGCCCTGAGAGAGACCCAGAGGCAGTTTGATTTCATTCCCTGGCATTTCACTCTGATTTCACACTTCTGGTCATTCAACGATCGGAAAGTAAAAAAAACACGTACAACACTGTGAACGAGCAAAAAGTGGGAGACGAGGAACCAGGGGAAAGCTGCTGTGGCCAGCACGGGCCGTGAGTGGACACAGCCTCAAGCGTGCTTCACAACATACTTTCATTCAAGCGTTTTGTATTTTGTTGTTACTTCTTCATGTTCACGATGTCCTTCTGAAGGTTCTGGTTTTATTTTTCCCTTTTTTTTCTAATGGCAAATAACCTTATGGTCAGTTCATCATATGGCAAAATTGCTTGCTGCAGAGATGTTTTCAGCAAAACTAAAAGCTAGACATCTTCCCTGCTCTGCCTTTGGAGTGACAGGCTGTTGACAGAGGTCAGAGAGGAAGGTGACGCCTCAGAGGCTGCCCACCGGTCAGGGTATTGCATGGGTGACTTTTTTTAAAATAGATTTAGTGATTTATGCATACAAGAACTGGGGTGTAGGCCAGAGGTGGGGGGTGAGAGGACTCACCAGAGACAGCGGGGGAGCAGAACAGGCAGACTGACTGAAATCCACTGCTGAGAGGGTGAGACAGGAAAGGCCTGCTGCACCATGTGGGTCAGTTCCCTGGCCAGGGATCGAACTCATGCACCATAGCTTGATAGTGCTGAGACTTTAACTCCTGCACCACCAGGGCGGCCCCTCCATGGGTGACTTTAAACTGCAGTCATGACTTGAAATATTACTGGGCCTAACCCTGTGCCAGGCGCACGCTGTGGTTGCACAGGATGGCTAGGGTCCCTGCAGGTGGTCAGGAGCTGGCTTGGCAGGTTGAGCCTTGCGGGGCCACCCCAGTCTTGGTCTCACTGAGCCTGGGCCCCTCACCTGTGAAATGGGGAGGCAAGGCCCTCAAGCTGTCTGAATGGACAGGACACCTGTCCTATCTGGAGCCGTCCTGCAGGAGATAAGCTACTACCCTTCCTGGTGAACTTGCCACAAAGGAGCTGGAGGACCCGCGGGCCACCAGATTCGCCCGGGAAGCAGAGGGTCCACAGGGCTCATGGAGCAAGGACAAGGCCTTGCGGGGGTCCCTCCAGCTGGCCAAGACCCTGGCAGTGCCGCCTGGCTGGGGACCACGGTGGTGCTGGCAGGTAGGGGCGGCACACCCTCAGAGGCAGCATCCAGCCCTCAATCTCTGTCCACTGGCCCTGTCCCCAGAGGGGATCCTGTGGCCTTGGGCACGCTCTCACCACCAGAGGGCGCCCTGAGCTGGGACTGAGGTGCCTTAAAGGATGCCAGGTCCTGGGGAGAGCCGCTCCTCTGGGTCAGGGGCACAGAGAAAGAGCTGCAGAGAGGAGACCTGGTGGAGCCTGTCCACCTGGTGATGCTCAGGAACTAGGCTGGCATCCTGGAGCCATCAAGAGAACCCATAAATGGGGGCTCAGACATAGCCCACCCCTTCAACTACATGTCCAAGCCACATTTAGCCAGGCAGCCTCTGATCACCTTCAATCACCACTGCTGAACGGGGCGGGCGTCCCTCAGGAGACACAAAGGTGCAGCAACAGCCGGGGGCCAGGAAACGTCGATGTGTATCTGACCTGCGAGGGCACTGCCCTGCGTGGCCTGTTCTGCTGGACTCTGCTGCTGTCCAGGGCGCCGCAGGAACACGGGGCCTGAGCAAGTCTCCTGGGCTCCCGCCCCAAGCAGTCGCAGTGGCCCTGGGCAGCCCGGGGCCTCTGACACACTCATTTTTTCGCTCTGCAGTTCTGCATTCAGAGATTTGACCATCCTTGGAAGTCAGCGGGCTGATCTGGGGGCCTAGAACTGTGGATGTGAATTCTGTGGGTGGAGAATCTGGCTGGAGACCTGCCTAGGTAAGTCACACACAGGTTTCTACACAGGAATCGGCGCCCTTGACCCCTACCTTGCTCAAGGGTCAACTGTATTAAACAGGCCAAGGGAAATAAATCTCTTTCCATTCTGAAACCCAGTTTTGTCATTGGAAAGATAAGCATATGTGCCACATGATACCCCAGGGCCTCTGCACAAGTCTAGGAAGGCAGCCCCGGGGGTGATGGAGATAAGCTTCCTCATCAGCCTGGGGGTCATGGGGATGTCCAGCTGAATTTAAGTTAGTTCAAACAAGTTTGAAATGTGGCCCTATCCAAGTTCATGGTCACACGTTCACTCCTGCCCAGGCTGGCTTGTGTGGACACGGTCCTCAGCCTTCCATGGGGGTGTTCCCCACCTGCAGCCTGTCCTGCTGCTGCCTGCTCTGCCCTGCCCTGCCCCCCTGTCGCCTCCTCAGGCAGCCCCTCCCACCAGCACCGCAGCCTCAGCGAGGGCCAGGTGCCCGCAGAATCCAAACCACGCTCTTCTTCACGGCGTGTTTACATTAAGAGCTGGCTCAAGATGAAGGGAGGGAATTTTGGCAGAGAAAAGGGACACCCTTCCAAGGCCGCGTGGAAAGTGTTCCCGGTAGGTAGTGGCCTTACTGCGGCCCAAAAGGCCGTCCTCACAGCAGTCGAATTCGAGGTTCCTGCCGCGGCAGGGAGAGCAGGTCAACCGGGGCTCAGGTGCCCGGGGACAGGTGGAGGGACTGGGGTGGCCAGGACAAGGCTACAACAAGCCTGCGTGTTTCTCATCCCTGGCCCCGGCTCCAGGCTGCCTGAGGAGGAGCCAGCAAGCAGGGAACAAAAGGCGCCCCAGTTACCTCGGCCCTCACCCCCGCCCCCCCGCCCCCTGCATTGTCTGTGGCTGTTGGAATTTCTGAAACCATCTACTACCTTCGAGCCCCGGAGTCCTTCCTAGCCGTGTCACCAGGCGGTAAGGCCACGTGTGTGACGTCACCATGGCCGCGTCCGCGAGCCTCTGCGGAGACGCCGGGTGCAATAAACCCTGTAGACCTCACCCTGGGAACACCCAAGGGGGCTGCTCTCCTCACCATAGCCACAGTTCCTCTTGCTTTACACCTGAAGAGAGGCCTCGTGCAAACACGGGGGGCCCAGCCTGCGAGGGTGGCCGAGCCTGCCACCCGCCTGGTGTCCCAGGCCCAGGGGCACCTCACCCAGTGGGGCAGGGAGTTCCTGCCCCTCCGTCCTATCCCACCTGGATGGTGACAAGGCCTGGGGACACCCTGAGTCCTTCTAGGCTGCACCCCGGGTTACTGTTGGGTGCAGGGGGCCAGTTGTGTCCCATAAGCCTAAAGCAATGTGTCGACTCAATTGCATGTGATTTGAAATGCTTCCAGAACAGACTGGCCTTGCCGTTTGGGGCACCTGGCAGCAGCCGGCGGCATGCAAGCTGGCTCTGTACCGCTCCCTCAGGCGTTGCCCCAGCCCCTTCCCGAGGCATCTCCCCCAAGCCGGGGACCAAGGGAACTTGCGCCCCAGCCTCCACCCCCCCCTCCCGCCCCTCCACACATCTTGACCGCAGGCTGTGTGGCCTCTCCTCTCTCGCCATAGTCACCCCCACCTCGGGGGCGTGTACTTCTCCACTTTGGCTGGGGGGGGGGGGGGCCAGGAGGCGACACCTGCTGAGGCCCTGGCTCTGGAGGAAGAGCAGGAAGGAGGAAGAGGGAAAGGGCAGGGCCCAGGTGGGCCACAGGGGGGTGAGCAACGGCCGCCTGGGCTGGCTGGGGCCTGCGAGAGCCTGGGGCGCCAACTGCTCCCCTCTGTCCTCTGTTACCAGCACCCAGGGCACTCTCACTGCTGCGCTTCCACATCATCGCCACCCACCTCAGGGTGCCACAAGCTGTGGGGGGACAGAGAGAAGCAGAGCCCGGCGGAGCCTGCAGGGGACCCAGTCACCGAGGGGCGCCCTAGGGGGCTCAGCAGAAGCCGGCGGTGCGAAGGGCAGGCAAGCGCACAGGTGGATGTGGGGGGGGCACCGGAGGGAGCACCGTGCAGGTGGAACTGAGTCCTGGGCTCCTGCGGGGCCCTCCTGGCGGCACCTGGGCAGCCGAGAGGGCGGCCTTACCTTCCGCGAGGAATGCTTGTCTGCGCTCTCCAGGTCCCCGTCCAGGAGCGGCATGGCGAAGGCGCTCAGGTCCTAGGAAGGAGGAGAGCTGGTCACCGCCTGGCCCCAGGGCCCGGGGCAGTCCAGGGGCGGCACGCGTGTCACCCCTTCCCGAGGCTCCTCCAGGCTCACCGGGGCGAGGAGAGCAGAGGCAGGCGGGTGGGAGCGGGGAGCCCCTCCCCAGATCCTGGCCGCCTGCCCTTCCAGAGGGGCAGCCACCGCCTCTGCCGCCCTGGGAAGGCGCAGCCGGGAGGCCAAGGCGGCCAGCAGGGCGTGGGGGGCCACCCCGGCTTCGGGGGGGCTGAGGACCGGCCTCCACCTCAGAGGGGCGCCCCGGGGGACGCGCGTCCTCCAGGGGCGGGTGACGGCCACACAGGGCGGGCCTCGGGTCGGCGGCTGAGGCAAAACCAGCAGTGAAGAAGGAGACACGCTGGCTGGGGGGCCCCACGGACGCCCCGTCTGAAGCGGCCCCCGCGGACGCCCCGACCCGCACCGGACGCCGCGACCCCCTCGCACCTGGACAGAGGCCTCCCCGGGCCTCCCCCCGCCAGGGGAACCCGCGTCCCTATCGAGGTAAAAGCACATGTGACGTAAAATCTCCCTTCCCAGCCGTTTTCTGGGCGCTCTCGGGCCGGGGGGGCGGAGCTCGCGCTCGCGGACGCGCCCCCATCTCCGTCTCTCCCCCTCACAGAGCCGAGGTTCTGTCCGCGCCCGCCTGGCCCCGCCCCCCGAGGCCCCGCCCCCGGCAAGCCCCGCCCTCCAACCAGCCCCGCCCTCTGACAAGCCCCGCCCTGCCAGCACCGCCCCACCGACCAGCCCTGCCCCCCGGGCCCCACCCCACCGGCAAACCCCGCCCCCTCCGGGCCCCGCCCCGCAGACAAGCTCCGCCCCTCCAGGCCCCGCCCCGCAGACAAGCCCCACCCCTGCCGCGGGACCTGCTCCCAACCCCACCCACCTGCTCCTGGCTACCCCCCCACCACCCCGCGTCTGGCCCCACTCCCCAGTGAACTCAGACCTGCCCCCCCAACCCCCGTGACAGCGCCCACAGTATGGGTCCCCCAGCCACATGTGGCAAGCTGCCCTTACGCCCACCTGGGCTGAAGCAAGGTCACGACCCCCACCCCCCAGGCCAGCACACCCCAACTCGCAGGAGACCACCTGCCCCTCGTAGGTCGGTGGACACGGCGGCTTCCACCTTCTGCCGACTGTGAACGTGGGTGCTGCGGGGGTGCTGGTCCTCTCCCCACCCCCTAAAGTTCCTAGGCTGAAGCCCTGAGCCCACCTCTGAGGTGGGAAAGATCAACCGGACCACAGGATGCCCATCTGGGAGGACTGGCATCCTGGTAAGGGAGCAGGACTGGACATAGCCAGGCAGTGAAGTGGGGAGAAGGGCCTCTGCACCCCAGAAGCGGGCCTCGAAGAAACCCTGCCTCCCTGCGTGGAAAACACTCTTCTGTGATGAAACCCTCTGTGGTACTTGGCGATGGCAGCCCTGGCGACCTGCACCGCAGCTTCGTGAGACTTGCTTTCGGTTTCGGGGTGTTGGCACTGCTGGGCCAGATGGGGCTCTGTGCTGAGCGTGTCTGGAGAGACATCGCTCCATCTCTGCGCCACTTTACACCCCAACTGTTAGGGGGAAAGGATGTCCTGAGCTAATTCCATGCAGGCTTTGTGGAGCCTGCCCTGTAACACAACCACCACAGGCTCCGCGCGGCCCCCACACTGCTCTCTAGCCCGCTTTGTTCTGTTTTGAAGCAGCCGTCCTGGCACATGTGAGGGGTCTGAGGCGTGTGGCTGAGGACCGGTCGTGCTGGTGCCTCCAGGGCTCACTGGCCACGGCTGTGTCTCCTTTGGAGAAATGCCTAAGATGTCCTCCGACATTTTTTAACCGGCTGGCTGCTGTGGAGTTGTAGTGCTTTCTACGCTCTCGACATTGCCCTCTTATCAGATGGCAGACTGGCCAGTACTGTCTGCTGTTTCCCAAACAGGGTGGGACACTCCCCCAGCAGGCCCTCACCCCTCAAACTCGGCCACCGGCCACCGTCGCCCCCTCCCCATGCACAGCTCAGGGGTGGCCTGGCCTCCAGCACAGAGAAGCGGGGCCGAGAGCCTGCAGGGGTCACCGACCAGCACCCCAGCTGCCCACGCTCCCACCCTGTCCTTCCTCTGGGCACTGCCCCAGCCCCGGTGCCCAGTCCCAGCTGTGCCTCTGCTGGAGCCCGCCCGGGCAGCACAGGGTCCTGTCCCCTCTGTGCTTCCTGGTCCCACAGCACCGCGGCCCAGTGACGCAGCCACCCAGCCGCTCTGAACGCCTCGGGGCAGGGGTCTCTGCCTCCCATTTACCTGGCAATCTGCGGGGTGCAAAGGTGCTTGCATGGACGCCTGGCAAGCCCCCAGGCCCGGCAGCGAGCACGGGAAGGGGGCAGGGCGGCTGTGGTCTGCGGGACGGATGGGCTAACGAGGGGCCGGGGTAGCCGCTCACCAGGCCCAAAGAGGAAGCAGGTGTGGGCGCTTATCTCCCGCTTTAACAAGGACATTCCTCTCCAGTTTCACATAATCATTACCTGCACCATTCGTTCAGCACAGCGGCCTCCACACGTGAAAGCCTTTCCACAAATGCCCGCTTGTTCCCGAGCACGGCCCAGCACCTCACGCTCCAGCAACCAGGCTCGCGCTGGACGGTCTCCAGGGGCGGGCGCTGCGTGGCTCCCGGCCCAGCTGCGGCGGATCTCGCGTGGCTCCTTCCACCAGAGGAGCCATGAACACAGCAGATGGCCCGAGCGCACTGCAGCCACCCCTGGGTGCAGCCGGGTCAAGCGTCCCTCCAGGGAAGTCCCTGGCAAAAGGGGCGGGGGCTCCCCGCCCACATTTCCCATGCCCAGCCTCCTCTCCTGGGCTCACCAAGAAATGCAAGCCAGTGTGGGAAATCTCTGCCGACAGCGTGGCAAGGAGACCGAGGAGACCGAGCAGGTGGGGTAACGGCCTGGCCGCTCAGCTCAGCCGACACTCCAGGAGGTCCAGGCTCCTGGCGCTTGCCCCGCTCACATCATTTTTAAAGCTGAAACCCCCAGCAGGGCTTCCTGCTTTCCCCGTTTTATCCACACCTGCCCCCTCTCTGAACGTCTGGGCCTGTCGGCCAGCCAGGCCTCCCTGGGCACCAGGTGGGCCTCTCCTGTGGCTGCCAACAGGCGTTTAAGGGGCCATTTCTGCTGTGAGACAGCCCTAGCCTGGATAGCTGTTGCTGCACACGGCGTCGTTACGATCTTGACCGCCTGCTTGGGGATAAGCGCCAGGGTCCTCTGGGAAAAGAGAATTGTCAGGATGTGGGCGGGTGGAGTCACCTGTCAGGAATGCACCAGGGCAGAAGAGAAAAGCCCAGGATTTGAGGGAATACCTGCCCTGTGAGCTGACCTTAAAAGCAGCTCATGCAACCCCCAAGCCTTCGCCCTCTTCCCAGAAATCCAGGCCAGAGTCTACCACAAAAGAGGCACGGCGACCAGGGCGCCCTTATGCTGCGATTCCTATGTCCTTAAATGTTGTGCCATCTCCATGGCGCCCTAAGAGTGACCAAAACAGTAGGAAAGGCAGGCGGTTGTCATGCCACTCCAGAGAGGAAGTGGGACAGAGAGGGCAGGCATCTGCCCGAGGCCAGACAGCTTGACAGCGGCCCCTGACCCAGGGTCATCCCTCAGCGCCAAGCAACTCCTACTGGACTCCACCGCCTCCTTGGGAAGGTACAGTTCCAGTAACAGAACCAACTCAGTAGCAGACGCTGTGAGGACAGGAGCTCTTCCATGCCAGACCAGCATCCCTGGCACCTCAGGTCTCAGGGGAAGCAGGGGGGACAGATGGTGACTTGGAGAGTTCAGTGGTTCATTTCCCAGGCACTCGGGACACGGTCTCCCTATGGCTCCCCACTTAGCTGGAGGTAATTCACGTGGAAGTGGCAACGAGCAGGCAGGTGTCCTCATGTCACGCCATCAATGCCACCTCACCATCTCTCCACCCCAGAGCATCCACACTGGCTGTCACGGGGGGCCTTATTTATAGCGTGCCCCCACCTCATCTACCCAACATCTCTCCAATTGATTTGTGAGTCCTTGAAGGCCGGGCTCCTCCCGTGTGCGCTCGAGAGGAGGTTCTCAGCCAGTGGGTATCGACGAGAGACAACGCTGACCTCGCAGCACTTCTGAGGCTTCTCTTGCAAAACTCTTCTGTTGATGCAGCTGGGATCCCCCTCCCCCCAGCCCCGATGCCTGATGAACAGGCCAAGACCAGACAAACAGAGAGACGGCCAATGTCAGGGGCCTGTGGCCTGCTCCTGAGGGTCAACTAGGGTTTTAAACACCAGGTCATGATTGAACATTCCTGCAGAGTGACCAGCAGTGTCCCCCCTACCGTGGAAGGGAACATCTAGGATGACGCGCATTCTCCACTCTCGCAGAGCAGGCCAGCGTCAGCAAATCTGGGGCCGCCCCCAGCTGCAGGGGGCTGACCTTCTAGGCACATCCTGGTCCCTCAGGCATGCGAGAGCCACCTGTTCACCAGGACAGAGCCAGAGGGCACCTTCCGGCCCCTGCTCTGCTGTCTGCGTCTGGGGAACCTTGGGCATGTGTGGATTCAGTTTTCCATCTGTCGAGTGAGGATTTTACTGCCTTCAGCTCCCACAGTCTTGGGTTTTGACCTGTTGAAGGAGAGGGCAGGTGGGGTCAGGAGCATTTTAAAGGAGCACAGCCAGGTGGGAAGGAAACCACTTTCTCGTCTGCTGCCATGAATCATAAAATCACGTTAATCTGCTCTCAAATTACCGAATGATCATCACTGCCCAGGAGCCACACAGCACCTTGGGTGGTCTCCATGGACATGGGCTACCTCCCGCCCGCAGAGGGACCAGGGCTGCTGCTGCTCCCTACACACACACTACAGGTGACGGTCGGGCACAGCTGTGCTGCTGGATCACCGGTGTCTTCATCTGCTCCTGAAGAACTGACCCCCAGTTTGCTCAGCTGATCCCTAAGTTCTCTCAATCTTAAGGACCTGACTTGTGGGTAAAATGCCAGGCGCATCCTGGCTTCTGACTACAGAAAAACTGTGAGTAATGTCCTCCAATTCTCGGGTACCTGGCCAGTTCCCCCAGGTCTGTCCATCTCCCTGACTTTCGATCATAACACAGGTGAGGAGCACTTGACTCAAACTTGTTGCTGACCTGCTGGGATGGTGGGGGGCCTGGCGAACCCCCATGGGGCCCAGGACGTGTATCCATGGATTGGCTTTGAGCAGAACTTCAGAATTGCCAGGGGGCGGTTCTTGGGGCCAATGTGTGTGCAGGTGGTGGTGGGGTGGCCAGAGCCGCAGTCAATCAGGGCCTTTGAGAACCTTCACGTTACATAACCACTCTCAGAAAAATAAGGAACAAATCCTGAATCACTGGAACTCGGCAATAGGGGAGGGGCAGTGGCCAATTCAGGGAAAGCCTAAACTTAACTCTCGGAGAAGTTCCAGAATTCTTTATTTTCCACAGAGGACGCCGTGCTTTCTGACTGCAGCCTGAGAGCCTTCCTGGTGGAATGAGAGATAAGCCACGTCCTCTCCTGCCCCCCACCTGGCCGTCCTGATCCAGGCGGCCGGCTCCAGGCTCCCTGCCGCCCCCACCCCGCTCCACCCGCCCCTGGTGTCTGTGC